GTCTCACACGATTTACATCTAGTTCAAGCAATGCAAACATTTTAAACAAATCAAACAATCCACAAACAATCACTTCATATTCTTGTAAAACAAGAATATACAAACACATAGTACAAACAAACTAGTCCCACACCCTCAGGTTGGTTTGGACGAACTGCTCTGACACCAATTTGTAATGTCATTATTTCAAATTCAGTATATATAAATAATTTTCCATTTCAATTCAATTTCAATATGAAATTCGGATACTGTTGTTCGCAATCTAACACTAGCAAGTGCACTAGGATTGCAGCAAGTAATGAGTAAATTTAAGATCCAAATATTGTCTCCACAGGGAATTTAGGTTTCAAATACCACTTCATAGAATTATAACCATTTAAGGCTTTTTGAAATTGGAAGGAGAGTAGTAACATGTAATAACATCAAACTAGAACAATTAAAAGTAAAATGAACTTGCAGAAAACAGAACAACGAACAAACAATTATGTGATAACAGAGGAAGAAACCATACCTAGGGAATTGCTTCACCAAAACTCCAATGTTTAATTAATAAAGTTCTGAATTAACAAGCATTTGGAAAGAAAGACAATTAGTTTCACGTTCTATTATTCAGAGGTTAATTCCTTAACTCAGTGAACCAAACATTCAATTAAAACATTCTAATTCCTTAGATCTGATTTAATTCAACATTGCTTTAAGTATAAGAAACCAAAAGATTGCAAGATCAAAGTTCCTTATCCCTAAGAAAACTATAATCTTGGTGATTGGTTCAGATCTAAAGAACAAATTCAATTTCCATTGACAAGAGTTCCTCTGAAATTAGTTAATCAAATTTCCATTCAATTCCTACGTAAAGTGCAGAATCAATCACTCAATCTATTCCAAAGCTTGAAATCCAGATCCAAAATCAATTCAACATATTCGTTTCAGATATACAATCCCTAGCTATGAACAAATTACACAGCCATGGCAGCAGAGAAAAGAAAAAGAAGAAGAGAAGAAGAAAATCAGAATCGCCATGGAAGCTTGCTCCACTCCAATTCCTCTTTGTGAAGCTCCGAGATTCGAATCCTCACTCCTCTCTCTCACTTCTTCTAACAAGAATCTAACTAAAAAAACTGAAAATGAACAGAATCCCCTTTTTCTGGATCGTTTCTGGTATTTATAGAATTTTTAAGATTTTCACGTCATTACTTTTATGAGAAATAGTAGTTACGCAGAGAGTTTTTGGTTGCGCGTTAACACTTTTCCCAGAAATAGTGGCCACGCGCAACTTCCTGATATTAAGAGCTCTCTGGAACTATCACTCTTGATGATAAAAGTGACAACGCAAAGCCAAAGTAGTTGCGCGTTATCACTATTGCTGATAAAAGTGACTACGCGCAACTCGCCAAGTTGAAGACTCTCTGGAACGATCACTTTTGATGACAATAGTGGTTACGCAGAGCTTTCCTGATATTTTGCCTCTCTGGAACTATCACTTTTAATGATAAAAGTGGTAACGCCCAGGCTTCACTTCTTCTTTGAGCTCTGAAGTGATCACTTTCACTGACAATAGTGATCACGCCCAGTCTGCAATTTCTTATTCTTGTGTTTTTGGAGTCCAGACTTGCTTCTTTCCTCTTCCTTGTCATCAAACCTCCATGGATATGATCCTTGCTCAATTTATTCCTTCAAAAACAAGATTAAAAACTTAATTCCTAAGCAAAAATTTCACAATTGCTAAAATAACTACAAATTTAAACAAAACTTCAATTCCTTCTCTTTTTCTGAGTTTTTCTGCTTTCTTTATATATTTTTCTTATCAAATGTGTTAGAATTATGCTAAAATATCAGTCAAAATATGGATTCATCAAATACCATAAAATTTTCCCGGAAGGAATTACTACAATTTAATCAAATATTTCCTTTTAAATCAATAGACTAGTGCAATAGCATAAAACTTCCGAAATTACCATAATCAAAAGTAAAGAAAAAGGCTATACATAAAACTTCACAATACAGTATATTAATTTACAAACTATATGTTTGAGTATTTAAATATCAAAATAATAATTACAACACCAAACACTACAAAAAGGATCCCAGAGCAGCCTCTGTTATACTAATCTCTAGCATTCCAAGTCTATCTCGGCTAGGTCCTCAGAGTCTAGGTCGTCATTAGATCCCAAATACCCATCGCCAAAGTCAGCTCTGACCTTTGTTCTCGTGACGTGCTCAAAGGTCCAACGGGTAGGTCTTCCTAGATAGTCGTGGTCATGGTAGGTGTATAAGTAAGTAAGGGCTGCTGGGGTTCTAATTGTACCCATATACATATATACACATAAGGTTTGGTGTATCCTACTCCTAAGGAAGTAGAATGGAATACTACAAGCAAAATTCATCTCTATCATGACATAAACCCTAGGAATGATTTACACACTGGTATTCATTAAATACGTAATTTAATCTAAAGTCTACAGAACTATCTACCAGCCTAACTCTTCCCTGCGAATTCGTCATCCTGGTTCCTTGAAATTATCAGTAAGAATGAGCGCCTATCTTATCATTTAAAACATAATATTACTTTAAAGACTAACATAACAGCACAATCATGGTCATGGAATACAAGGAATTATAATAACATAAATCTCAAAGTAATCTATTAGACATACACATATTCATAATTATTATGTTGCTCTCTTTTGGATACACACATTTAGTGCACTGTGATCACAATTATACGGTGCCTCCAACAGTTCTTGAGGTCTTACACAACTAGGTAAATAGTCGCTGGTTAGCCCATGCATACAGATACAACGTATACAATAACCAGCCCCTTAGCAAAGGTATAGTCAGGAGTCTAGTTAGGAAACGAGTGTGAAGCAATGTGGCGCATTCGCTCTCAGAAAGAATGTGTACACATGCGTGAATGTTGCTCACCACCCTACATTTTCCCCAGATTTCTTATCGTATTTGGACTCTATACCCCCAGTGTATCTATGTAACTATTCACACTAGAACCATTCAGCTTCTTACACTTATCTCATACTCCCTTTCTTACTAAACTCATTATTCAAGTAAGAGATCGTGCTTAGTAAAGCACTTCCGAACTAAATTCCAAACAAACGGACTACTCTAACATATCATTAACACCCAAAATCAGCCAAACATATTTTTCATAATAATTCAATGTCAATCAATCATAAGAATCATACTAAAACACATACATAAAGTACTCTCATGGTTACAAAATAATTATTATGCTTAAAATAACAAAATAGAGCCCTCCTTACCTTGAGATGAAGTTTTGAAAGAGATTTTGTGAAGGGTTTTAGGTGAAAGGACCAAGATCTTCCTAGATATCACAAAAGAGAACATTTTGAGAAAGTAGAAACTTAGAAAACACCCAAAGAGAGAAAACAAAGCTCCAAGAACTTACTTGAAGTTGATTGATGAAGTTCTTAAGCTTGGATTTGAAAAAAAGTTGAGGTTTTGGAGAGATTTTCTGAGAAGAGATGGTTAGGGGTCGAGAGAACAAGCAAGAGCTCGAAACTTGGATTGTAATCCAAGTTTTCTAACTTGTAAACCCTTAAATACTCCTAGACTCGTGACATTCTCGCTACAGCGAGCCCTTTTCTTGTTGTAACGAAAAAACTAAACAAAATTGCACTTTGTTGTCTATCATTCTAGCTACAGCGAGAGAGCATCAGAATGCCTGATTTCTGAACGCTCTTTCTCGCCACAGCGAGAGATATCTTGCTACAGCGAGATATCCTGCAACCTACATCATTTAAACTCTCTAAAATTCAAATAACTTCACAAATATAACCAACATTCAATGCTATAATAATAAATATAAAAACGAGGATGTTACAATACTCCCTAAATTATCCTATGCACAACACACTTAACAATCATTCTCTGGCTCGCATTACACGTTGCACTTAACAACATCATCACACATTACTTGCAAATATACTGCTCCTTATTTGGCAATTACACAACCTTTACATTTACATTCCAATATATGAATAATTCATACACTTTAAGCATACACAGCACAATTCAAATGAAATAATGAGTACATATAAATACACCGATCTGGCAATATACGTTGAGTCAGTCTTGAGTTAGAAAAATGTATGTGCATAAGTTATTATAAATAAAAATAAATAAATATTTATTTTATAAAAACTTACAATCATAGTAAAAGTTAATTTTTCACCTGATATAATCCTAAAATAGTACAATAAAAATTATGAAAGGTCCACAAAAGTTTTTATGTATTTCCTAATTAAGAAGACAAAAGAGTGTAATATAAAATGGAGAGAAAAATATCGACAAAATATTCCCTTATTCTCTAATACGCTCATCTTAATACACTATATACTATTGAATTAAATTTATTGATAGTCATAAAATTACGTAAAATTCATTCTTAATTTATCAAGTTTTACTCATAAATTTTTTAAAAAAATCAACCAATAGTAAAGAATATATTAAAGAGTTTGTCAAGAATTTTTCACTTGCCAAATTATACTCTTATCACATTGGTCAAAATGAATAAAAAGTTTAATAAAAAAGAAGAAACTTGATTTTAAAATAATTAAATAAATAAAAATAGTTAATATAAGAATACTCGAGAGATATCTTTTAGAGAAGATATAAAATAATAACTAAGAATGTAATCTAATATATATTGAAATTAATAAATCAAGAGAAGAAAAAATAACATTTAATTTAATTTTAGTAGAGTATCCAACTCTACAATGCTAGTAACTAAAATAAAATTTATGTGCTAATATTTATAATTAATATTTCATATTAGACGAATTAAAAAAAATCAAAGTGTCATATAATTCACTAGACACAAACTAGTGATTAATGTTTGATACATGGAATAATTCCATTATTCATTTAGATCTTTGGTCTTATTTGATGAAAAACATGTAGATAGGTTTTCATAATAAAATGAGCTACAGTCATATGTTTCTGTTTTTCCTGCTTCAGATTTGCCATTACTTGATTTTCTTGATCCTTGCTAAACAATTGTCCATTGGCCTTGTATGCGGTAAGAATCTCAGAGGAGAATTTGGATTAAGTTGCTCAAGCCTATGACAATGACATAATGTGAACGTTTGTTAATACAATGTTTGATTGTTAAAACCAATATTCTTTTTATAACAAATAAAGTTCTAGACAAAATTATTTTAGATATATAGAAAAGGATGTCTAAGATATTCATGTGAACTATGTTTTAAAATTTTATGCATACATACACAAACATGCATAATTTTAACAAGTCAAATGAAAAAATATTGAAAAAACAATAACTTGAAATTTCAAGTTGAGAAAATATTATGTCTTTCTTGAGTGAAATTTTTGCATCTTTTCCAAGTTTTTATATATTGATAATACATTATATGGATTCAATCAATTTTGTAAATAATTTAATAAAAAATGCATTTTAATGTTTAAGTAAAACTAAATTAATAATATTATTTTATCAACTAGGATTTTATGAGAGTTAATAGGGGTCATCGATCCTTTTAATGAATTCTAAATAGGGTAAATAAGTTATAAAACAAATGAGTTCTTAATTTTAAAGTTAATCTATAATATAAAAAATTGATCTGCATTAATATATATACTTAGGTTCAATCACATATTATATGAAAAATAAAATACGTTATAAAGAGGGAGAAAATGTGTACTCATAATTTAAAAGAAAATGATGAAGGAAAACTGAGATTTCAAGTTTGGCAAGATCATTTCCGGGACATAATCTAGTTCCTGCTCCAAATGGAAGGAATTCTCCAGCCTTGCGTACCTCCTATTAATGATCATCGACCAATTGTCAAAATATGTTGATTACATGGCTAATATTAAGTAGAAAACATATAAAATCACCTATTTGTTTGATTTAAATATATCAAAATCAAATATTTGAAACTTACATTCCATCTATCAGGATTGAACTCTTTTGGATTGGGATATATTTCTGGATCAAGGTGAACTGACCTAAACCAAACTAAAACTTTCCAACCTTTCGGAATCATGTAACCTATAAATTAAATTGTAATTAGTATTTAGTGCAATGAATAAAATGTCAAATTTTATGTTGTATCTTTGTGCTATGAATATTATTTGAAATGTGAACGAATAGTAAAAAGGAACCAAGATATAACATTCCAGTTATATTTTCATGATTCATCATGGCTAGAAGTAAGAATAGATATGTATTGAAGCCTTCATGCATCTTATAAATAAATAAATTATTAAACATGGACTAACCATTGATATTGACATCAGATTTTGCCTCTCGAAAAACCATTAGTGAGAATGTGACCACACGCAATGTTTCATCAATCACCTATACAAATTACACAAATCAAAATATATATAATCACAAGATCATCAATTATAATTTTACAGTAACCTTAAATCAATAATATCCACCTTAGAAAGATATTCCATCTTTCGAACTTCCTCCAGTGTCAAACCTTTTTGTGTTGAAGGCCTTTTCCTTACTATTTCTTCTTGTTCTTCCTATGTAAGGAGGTAAACTATATTAGGAAGTAAAACTAAAGTTTAATTTTGGATGAAGGGATATTAACTGAAGCATAATCTAGGTAAAGTTGGAAGAAATGCACGTATCTGTTAATTATCATTAGCAATTGCACATATATTTACTGATGATGATTAAGTAATTTGATAGTTAATACCTTAGCCTTCTTGAAAAATTTCGGATGCCTTTGGAGGAAATAAGTTGCCCACATGGTAATATGTCCTGAAGATTCGTGACCTGCATTTAAGTACATCAACATGATATCGATGATGTCCTCATCACCCAATTTTCTACCATTTTCATCTTCAGCATCTATCAGAGCATCTATCATATCTTTGGCTTTTTTGTTAGGTGATCTTTCCTTTCTTTCATTTCTTCTCTTATCCACAACAGATTGAAATACAGCCAACAATTTTTTCCTAGCCTGAAATATATAAAAAAAAAAAATTATATCATAAAAGATTTCACTTAAAGAAAAACTTCATAGTAGTTTTCATAAGAAGTAATATATTATTTACTGTTGCTTCATTTGATGAACATACTTGAGTTGAGAATACTATAGATATGATTGAATATGATGTTTAATTACAAAAGAGTGATTGAAATGAATTCTTAAAAAGTATCCATATGCACAGAGGCAAATAAACAACACTTTACTCTTAATGATCTTGGATGTGAGCTAGCATGTTTAGCCAAGGTGAATATCATTAGGTATTAATGTAGCATGTGATAATTAAGATTAGTAAAACTATTCCTTATGTAAGGACGAAAAATTTTACTACTAGGCTCTCAATAATTTGCAGTTAGTACAATAAATTTTACTATTTTTTTTTATTTTTCATGTACTTAATGCTTAAGGGAGTAAGATGATGATGAAAAATTACCTTCAATGCTTTATGGAATGCAAATCCGGGAAGGTTAATCCGCATAGCTCTAACCCCATGATTAAGGGTTGTGTATTCTTTTTCCAAAGCCTCCATTATAGATTGACTTTCTGCACCAAGAAAAATATGCATGATGATCTTAAAAGTGAGCTTACGCATTTGAGTTAAAAACTCAATGTCTCCCATGGTGGTCCATTTCTCTAATGAACTTATCACAATTTCTTCAATATATTTCAAGTAAATAGACAGTGCTTCATAGCCATTGATTGAAGCAGATGTTAAGCGCCTTAGGCGTCTATGCTCGTCATAAGGCATTGAAATGAATGACTTTTTGCCAATGAGGTCTACAGTGGAGCGAGGCCACCCAAGAGTGAATTTATCATCATCTGTCAAAACTCTTTTTGCATGCTTCAGGTGTTGTTACAATAACACTTGGCTTTCCAAACATCAATACCTTGTATATGCCGGTCTTTCCAAACCTGTTATTGCATTAATATATTAGTATATCGTTCATAAAATGATTATTAGTAAAGCTTCACAAATTGTGAATTTATTTGAAATTGCTAATGTTTAGTTTCCCCATGTTTCAACAGGGAGATTAAGCTCTTTGAATATATTAGAAGAAATTTTTATTAACAATTTGAAAATGCAAAAAAAATATAAAAATTGTTTTACTTTGAAATCATCAATTAAGAAACAACCACTTCGTATGAATTATTATTGATTTCACCATATCTTGTTTGATAAGCCTGTTTAACATATGACAATTGTTTATAATAAGTAGCTTGCCTAGCTAGTATCGTTTGTGTTGCATGGGAACGAACATTGTCAAAATTTGTCTTTCTCAATTTAAAATATCTCAAAAAAACATCTTCCACGTTTCAATCCTATTATCGGGTTTGACTCAAAAACCATGTCATATTTCTCAAAACACAATACAAACGTAGAATAAATAAGTAATTATTTGATATAACCCAATTTACTTTTAAAACTTTTTTTATTTTGGTCTAAGAAAAACTATGCTAAATTTGTCTTAGTACAATGGAGGGTGGGGGTTGGAAGAGGGGTGCTATTTTTTTTGGATCAATTATTCGGATTAAGCCTCGTTTCTTGTTCACTCTATCACTTAAAAGCTATGCAAGCGGACCAAAATTACTGCAACTATGTTGTAGAAGGTTGACTATACCATCCTAACGATGAGATGATGAGGTCCACGGTAAAATTATTAAAATTATTAAAATTATTAAAACAAACGCAAAGAAACCTTGTGCATAATTATGAAATAAAAAAAATATTTGTTGGTTGTGATGCATGCTTAAAAAGAATAAATAATTAAAACTTTATGAATGGAAATAGAAAATCCTGAAAAGATTAATTATTTTAAGCAAAATAAAAATACAATTAAAAAAATATCAAGAATACTCCAAGAGAGTACAAATGTTGTCTTTTGTACCTTTGACCATACAAAATAAGGTACATCATAATACAATGCACTTAATACGCAAAAGTGCATGCATAGCGAAAGAAAATGGTTGTTTATGTAGTTAATATGATATGAATTCAATAATAAGGACATTAATTTCTTGATAGCAAATGAGCAATTATTGAGAAAATTAGAGTATCTTTTGTATAAAATGGTGCCTTCCACATCACATCTTTGAAGAAAACTAGATATAAACATGCACAGTGTGGGGGTTTCTTAAGTTTTCAAAATAATTGTTAACGATAATTAAAAATATTAGAACATTAAGAGGGAATGAAGGATTCAACTAAAATGTGACATAGGTGACAAAGGAGGGTGCTATAAAGTAAAGTATATAGAACATTGCAAGGTATGTTGAACGCTGAAATTACCTGGAGACAAAGGAATCCATGAAGGAATCAGGATCATTGGTCTTGAAAGCATTAAGAAAAGACCACATGTTGCCTATTAAAGGCCAACCCATGTCCCCTGGGGGAAGAAAGTATTGCTTACCACCTAATTTGTATTCATAGAGCATCCAATTTACATTCTTGAAGAGGAATTTTAGGGCCAATACAGCACCAGCAACATAGAGTACCCACATGGAACCCATCTCCACGATAATCACCTGAACCTCAGCAACTCCCACACCAAATTTTATGTGCAAATATTTATATGCATAATTCACTCTTGCAAGAAGAGAAGGAAACAATAAAAGGAAAGAAGCCGTGTAGGAAAAGGAAAGTAATATTTTGGAACAGATTAAAATCAATTTTGAAATATTTTGAGGGAAAAGTTCATTTTTTATTTTGTCATTTAATTATGGTTAATAATGAAAATGGAAATAAAAAATGAGCTACAATGCTATTGTGAAAAATAAAACATTAAATTCATTGAATTTAATGTTTTCTAATTCCCTCATTAATATAAAATAATTTGAATGCATATCTACTAATAATAAAAATTCCCATTTGGTGTGCTTGCACAATTTAATACATTTATTTTCAATTTTAACTCTATTAAATTAATTAATGTATTATAATAACATTAATTATAATAATTTGGATAAAATCTTCATGATAATTTAAATATTTCTTATATTTTTCTTACAATTATTTTTTATAGGATATAGACTCTATATTTCCTACACAATTATTTTGTTTTGAAACATCAATAAACTTTTTAAATTTTATTAGTCAAATAAATAAGACTTTGTGCTGTAGTTAACTCAACACTAATCAAGAATTTTTAAGAAATGTTGAAAATTTTTGTTATATATCCATTTCAAGTTTTAACCCTTTTTTTCACTTCATTAATATTGAATCAATTAAACACATTTTTAACATATATTTTACTTTTAGAAAATTTTATGTTATATCACCATATCTTGATTTTTCATATATAAATGTAACTAATATATTTTTTTTCATAAAATATTTCTGGTCTAACACCCATATTCTTGGTCGGCATGGTAATTGTTGAAAGACAATTCTATATCGTCAGGATTCAAATACTGGTAAAAAGAAACAAAAAGTAAAGATATGATCAAACATTATGCGTGAACATCTCTGCTAATGAGGATTCAAATCGTCCATTACCATTTTGTGGGAAGCTAACCTCATGCCTTAGACCTAACTCATTTTAATATTAATATAATTTTACTTAATATTTAATAATGATTTAAAAGAATAAATTATTTTATGAGTTTATTTGAATTCAATGATAGGAAATATAATATCTATTGTTATAAAATATGTAATGTATGAACCGAAGCCAGAGCTATTATTAGAGGTAACAAAAGTAATTGTGCAATTTTTTCAGTGAGAAGAAAATTAGGAACTAAGGACCTTTAATGTTAAGTGGGCTTTAATTCCTTTTTGGTAATAAATTTAATGCTTTAAATAATTTTAGGTTAACTACGATAAAGAATTATTTAAAAAAAAAATACTGATGGTATGAAAATTTAGGAATCACAGAATTTTTATGGTAAGTAGGCTGTGCAACTAAAGAAATTTTTTAAAAATTGAAAAGTTAAACAATTTCTATGATATGTAACATAATAATTAAATTAATTTTAAAAATTTATCACGCCAAAAAAGAATCCAATTGTAATAAGGTAACGAGTTAAGGAAGTAATTATAAATTAAAATAATTATAAATTAATTTCCTATAAAAATAATTATAAATTAAAAAATTATATCATATATATAATAAAGGAGTTATTAAAGTAATTATATCATGCGAATTTTTATTTTACCGTTTATCAGTGACGAACATGGTTTTGAATTATATTATTAACGCTGTTTTCTTTTATAAGGTCATTTATTACCTATTATATTTATTATTGATGCTTTCTTTTCAAAATGTTTACTACATTTTATTTCTTTTTCGACTTCTATCACATTATCCGTTCAACTAATTATGTTTTTCTTCTATCTTTTTCAAATCTTTCAAAATTTATATACTTCAAAAAATATCGTAAAGTTATTCTTTTAATTTATTTTGGAATTACATTTTTAAAAAAAAAAACTATGATTGTTAAATACATATTAAGTTTTCTAATAATAATTAATTATCATTAAAAATTAAAATTTTTTTTACATAAATTAAAATAAATATTAGTCATCAAAAAAATTATTAATATTTTATTTATAATTTTTATTAATTTATAGATATTATTTATATAATTTTTTGACAATATTCTTAAAATATATAATTATGAGAAAAATAAACAAATGTCTTAAATATATATATATATATATATATATATATATAGATAACCCGAAGTGGATCAAAGGAACAAAAATAGATAAACTAAAAGACTAAAAGGAAAGTAGGCAGTAGCAGGAATACTAAATGATATGCAGAAATTAAAAGTGCAGTATGTAAACCAATTAATTAAAACATAAGAAACTAGAACGGTGGTATAACCAACACAGATCTAGTGGAGGGAGAAGAGAAGAAAGCCAGAGCGACGGTAGTCCGAGCAGGACCGGCTAAGAGGGAGAAGAGAGAAAAAATAACTTGAAATAGCAAATTTTATTAAAAGATCTCAAAGAGGTAAGCTTACAAAGGATGGTATCTCTCAGAGCTTCTCTCTCTTAAATCTCTCTTCACTTGCTAAATGAAAGGGTTGTAATTGAAGGATCTTTCTGGTCTTTGTAGTGTTTAATGGAAACAGAATCTGAATCCACTAATATAAACTCATAGAATTGCCTGGTTTTATTAGCCTGATATGGTCTAAAATGAAATCCAGGTGGAAAGACTTTGGTAATAGCCTTGTATGGATTCTTATCCCAAAATTCAGGTTCCATTTGTATGACTGAGGAAAATTTTCCTTTGGCTACATAATGGTTTGGATTTGTAGATTTTTGTTTTCCCTTTTGAAGGTCAAGGGTCCCTTCTGATTTACTTGGATTGGTTATTGTTTTCTAGGTTTGGTTAAAGGACTGGAGTATGGTATTTAGGCTTGCTAAATCTATTTCCATGTCTTCTTCAAAGGCAATATCAGCCTATGATTTTTTTGGTAGGCTACTAAGACTTCCTTGTTGGACAGCCAAAAGTGTGCTTATTGGGAGAGCATAGTCTGCTTTGGTTTGTTTCGTGGTTTTAGCAACAGAATCAGTCTTTTTGGAAGATTCTTTTGGAGATCCAGATTGTTGTGTTGATGACTCAACAATTTGGATTGCCTTTTGGGTCGATGACCCAATGGGGGTAGATGACCCAGAAGAAGATTTTGAATCTGCCGAAACAGATTGTTGTTTTGATTTATTTAATGTCAGGGCTAACCTGACTCTGCCACTTCTGGTTGTTCCTCCCCTGGAAGAGGTGGTTGCCTTTCTAGGCATTTTACTTATCCTGTAAATATTCACGGGTAAGGTAGTCAGGAAGAGAGTTTGAAGTGCCTTTGAGATATTCGATATCAAAGTCGAAAACACTTAAAATTGCTTGCCATCTTGCAAAGATTTGTTTTGAGGCAAGGTTTTTTACATCTTTTTGTAAAATTTCTTTAGCAGACTTGCAGTCTACTCTGATAAGAAATTTTTGATTTAATAAATCAGATTGAAATTTTGAAACACATAAAACAATTGTCAAAACTTCTTTTTTAACAGTAGAATAATTCTGTTGTGCATCCAATGTTTAGAAGTGTATGCAATGATATGCTCATGTGACTCAATTTTTTGTTTGAGGATACCTCCATAACCTATGTCTGAGGCATCGGTTTCAACAATTTTGAAGGCTTGAGGAATTGGAAGATATAAGCAATTTATTTTTTTGACTCTATTTTTGATATCTTTGACAACGTTGGTATGAACATCAGTTCAAGAGGGAGGATTTTTCTTAAGCCGATCATGTAATGGCTTGATGATGTTATTTAAGTGAGGAATAAAATCTCCTACATAATTGAGGCATCCTAAAAACCTTTGTAATTGAGTTTTATCAAGGATCCTGTCAGGAAATTTATCAGCGAAATCAATGGACCTGCTGATAGGAATAATAGTTCCTTGGTAGATATTATGACCAAGGAATCTAATATTGGTTTGGAAGAGACTAATTTTTGACTTAGAAACGGCAAGACCGTTTTGTTTAATGACATTGATGAAAACATTTATATGTTTGAAATGTTGATCAATGGATTGAGAAAAAATTAGAACATCATCAATATAGACAATGACGAATTTTGAATAAGGATTAAAAATGTCATTCATAATTTTTTGAAACTCGGAAGGAGCATTTTTTAGTCCAAAGGGCATAACGTTCCATTCGTAATGCCCAAAAGGGACAGTAAAGGCAGTTTTGTACCTATCATTTTCACAAATTTGGATTTGCCAAAATCCGGATTTCATATCAAACTTTGAAAAGATCTTTGCAGAATTTAGTCTGTTAAGAAGATCTTTCTTATTGGGGATAGGATGCCTAATCCACTGGAGGGCTTGATTAAGAGGTTTGTAATTAATGACAAGTCTGGGAGTACCTCTCTCGATCTCAGCAGGTTTATTAACATAAAAAGCTGAGCAAGACCAAGGACTCTTGCTTTTTCTAATAAGATTTTTGTCTAAGAGATCTGTAATCTCTTTCTGACAATAATGAAGGAGTTCTTCATTCATCTGTATCGGTCTGGCCTTAGTGGGAATCTGGCTATCCTTAAAACCTGTCTCATAAGGAAGACTGACAATATATTTTTTCCTATTCCAGAAGGCGCTGGGTAGGTCAGAACATATGGAAGTTTGAATATTTTTTAAAAGGGATTGGATTTTCTTCTGAAGCGAAGGATCATGTAAATGTTTTTCAATGTTGGCAAAAGAAACTTCTTCTTTTAGAAAATTAATTTGATTAATTTTGTTTTGAATAGAATTAATATTTTTTGTAAATGGTTTGTTAGAAAATTTAAAAGTTATTAGTTTTCCTAAATGACGAGTGGAAATACCATCTTTCAAAATTTGTAGAGGGAAAAGGGCTTTTATAAAAGGTGTACCCAGAATAACTTCATTTTTTAAATTTTTTACAAGAAGAAAGTTTGTTTCAATCTTAAGCCCTTGATTTTCAATCACGGCTTTAGAAAGCTTGTAATTAATTTTTAACTTTGAACCACTAGCAGTGCTGAGTTTTTCA